AGACCCTGAGGCCATGCTGGGGCCTCCCCCATCCTCCCTTCTCCTCCTTCCCCCCTCACCCCCGGGGGACAGGAAGGAGCCCGGGCTCACATTAAGGGCAGGAAGAGCGTGTCACTGACAAAGTGGACGGAACCAGATTTCTTTCTCCACATCAGTTCTCAAAGCCAGAAGAAGAAAGTTTGCTCTAAGGATGTTGTTTCCACCCAACTGGAGACTGAAAGGTGGAAGTCCTGGGCGGAGCAGTGGAGGAACAAGGCTGTGGATGGTGGGCGGGTGGGCCTGAGCCTGGAGTGTTTCTTATGCTGCTGTGGGCGAGCACAGCGTGTTTGTGCAACAAGAGAGAGGACAAAGGGACAGGGTCCCCAGAGCACTGAAATTGGCCCAAAGTCCCTTATCACCTGTGATACATTGTCAATCAACACTGGCCCAGAATAAATAAACTCATATGTCTTATGAAGAAGTTTCTATGAATCAGAGAGACAGAATCCCTTAAGGTCGAGTGGATGCTAAAAACCATTAGATGGCCCTAGCTGGTTTGGCTCCGTGGATAGAGCATTTCCCTGCGGACTGAAGGGTCCCGGGTTCGATTCCGATCAAGGGCAAGTACCTCGGTTACAGGCTCCTCCCCGGCCCTCGGGCAGGAGGCAACCAATCAATGAGTCCCTCTCACATCGATGTTTCTCTCTGTCTCTCCCCCTCCCACTCTCTCTAAAAATCAATGAGAAAATATCCTCGGGTGAGGATTAAACTAACTAAATAAATAAATAAATACCATTAGATCAGTGGTTCTCAACCTTCTGGCCCTTTAAATACAGTTCCTCATGTTGTGACCCCAACCATAAAATTATTTTCGTTGCTACTTCATAACTGGAATGTTGCTACTGTTATGAATTGTAATGTAAATATCTGATATGCAGGATAGTCTTAGCCGAACACTGTGAAAGGGTCGTTCGTCCTCCAAAGGGGTTGCGACCCACAGGTTGAGAACCGCTGCATTAGATGAAAGGCAAAGAACAGACATCCACGTGATGTCAAATGTCTGCTGGTCACGAGAGAGAAAGCTAATCTAACAATGGTGGGACAGAGGTGGGACGTCCCTTCGGGGATGCTGCGGGGACTGCTCAGGTGGCCCAGGAGGGCTCTTGCCAAGTCTTGACCTGATTCTGATGCAGCCTTGGGACCCAACTTGCAGTTTACAGAGCATCTCAGGGACGGAGGGGGCCAGTTCAAGACACCACAAGAAAGCAAGCAGTCTGATCCAGAAGTGGGCTGTTCCCTGTTCTCTGCAAATGAGTGTCCTGGGGAAGAGAGGAGGCTTAGAAAAGATGACTGTTCCAGATGAAAAGAGATTTAAGGGGCCAACATCCAAGTGCAATGGATTCCTTTTTAAAAATATATTTTTATTGATTTCAGAGAGGAAAGGAGAGGGAGAGAGAGAGATAGAAACATCAATGATGAGAGAGAATCACTGATGAGCTGCCTCCTGCATGCTCCACACTGGGGATGGAGCCTGCAACCAGATATGTGCTCTGACCGGGAACTGAACCATGACCTCCTAGTTCAGTGGTTGGCAAACTGCGGCTCGCGAGCCACATGCGACTCTTTGGCCCCTTGAATGTGGCTCTTCCACAAAATACCATGTGCGGGTGGCCCATGCGCAGAAGTAGGTATTTTGTGGAAGAGCCACACTCAAGGGGCCAAAGAGCCGCATGTGGCTCGCGAGCCCCAGTTTGCCGACCACTGTCCTAGTTCATAGGTCGACGCTCAACCACCGAGCCATGGGCAGTCTTTTATCAGGCATGAACAAAAGAGGAGTCAAAGGCACTGGGGGGCATGGAGGGCCTACTGTGGAGTGACTCTCAGAGGACAATGGGACCACTGCTGCTCGTGCATTGGATGGAAAATGGCACTGAGCCATTTAACAAAATGTGCTTGTCAAGAGATGCACATTGAGCCCTAGCCGGTTTGGCTTAGTGGACAGAGCATCAGCCTGCAGACTAAAGGGTCCTGGGTTCAATTCCTTTCAAGGGCACGTACCTCGGTTGCAGGCATCTCCCTGGCCCAGGCCCGGGTCGGGACTTGTGCAGGAGGCAACCAATCGATGTGTTTCTCTCACTTGGATGTTTCTCTCTGTCTTTCCCTCTCTCTTCCACTCTCCCTAAAAAATCAATGGAAAGATATCTTCAGGTGAGACTTAAACAAAAAAAGAGATGCACATTGAAGCATTTTGGGAGAAAATGGCCTGTAAACTTACTTTAAAATGATGGGAAGGGAATAGAATGGAAGGAAAGGGAAGAGCAAACTAGCAAATAAGAGGAGCTGGAGGGCACTGACTGGGAGGCTGGTACCTGGGCTTCATTACACTAGTCTCTCTACTTGTCGGTTTGCTCGACGGTGTTCAAAATTAAAAGGGAAAATAGTTTGATGGTTCCTCAATAAATAAACATAGTTATCGCATGACCCAGCAATTCCACTCCTGGACATATACTCAAAAGAACTGCAAACAGGTGTGCAAATAAAAGCCTGTACACGAATGTTTCCAGCAGCGTGATTCACCAGAGCGGCAACAGGTGGAAACAACCCAGTGTCCACCGTCTGACGAATGTAACAGATGAACCAAATGTGGTCGTACACACAATGGAATATTACTTGGCCATAAAGAGGAATGAGATGCCGATACATGCTACAATGCGGGCGAACCTTGGAGACATTATGCTCAGTGACAAAAGCCAGACACACAATAGGCCACAGATGGTATGATTCCATTTATATGATGTAATATAAAATTTCACAAGAGCTGTCTTGACCTAATTTGGAACTTATGACTGAAAACCCCCTTTTCTCTGCTCTTCATGGGCAGTTTGTTGAGCTCCCATCCCAGCTACCTCCCCCATCATGGGGCCCTCACTCTGGGGCCACTAAACATGTCCTCACCCCCTTATTGGGCTCCCACACTCAGGGGTCAGTACGAGAAAACTAGGGACAGCCCCTATGCCCAGAGGGACCCCGCGGAAACTAGCACGCTACCCCGATGCACCCCCATGTGGCAGCCTCCTCTCCTTTGAGTTGTAAGAAAGAGTTCTGCCTTTCATTTCTCTAAGTGTCACTGTCTTGTGACCTGCCATCAAAAAATAATCTTATCTTTAAAAATATGACATGGCCTTGGCAGGTGTGGCTCAATTGGGTGAGCAGCATCCCGTGCTCGGAAGGGTTGCCGGTTCGATTCCAGATCAGGGCACATGCCCAGGTTCCAGGATCAATTCCCAGTCTGGGTGCATAGTGGAGGCAGCTGATTGATGTTTCTCTCTCACACTGATGTTTCTCTCTCTCTCTCTCTCTAAAAAAAATCAATAAAAAGATATTTTTTAAAAACTAACATATGACATGTGCAGAATAGGAAAATCCAGAGAGTCAGAGAGCAGATCGGTGGGCATGAGGTGTGAGGGTGTGTGTGTGTGGGGGGAGGAGCAGTGTGTGTGTGTGTGTGTGTGTGTGTGTGTGTGTGTGTTTGTGTGACTGCTTTGTGGGTATAGGGTTTTCTCCATGGGTGATGAAAATGTTCTGGAACAAGACAGCGGTGATGGTTGCACAACATTGTTAATATACTTAATGCCGCTGAATTATTCGCTTTAGAATGGTCAATTTTATTTTATGCGAATCTCATCTCAATAAAAAAAGGGGAGTCAAGAGGTGTGGCTGTCGAGTAATCATGCTGATGTCCACACGTCACATTTCATTCTGACACCCCGTCAGTCACTGGGGGGACATAACGGGCTATAAAGGTGTAGGGTGGAGACTAGTGGGAACATCCGGGCTTTCCAGACCAGCAGCACATTATTTTGAAGAACAGCACTTCTTTTCTCTCTCCCACGGCTGTAACGCCAGGTCATGGTCCATCTTGAAAAACAGAAAAGTCTAAAGGAAGAGTGTTATCTACGGTCCCCCGCTCCAAGACATACTGGGGTCCAAGCCCCCAGTGGAGAAACAGCCATTGAGCTGTGACCACCTGAGAGAAACAGCATGACAGGCTCACCTGTAGTTGGAGACCAACATTCAAGTTCAACACCACAAGGCGCACTGGGAGGTGCCAGCCACGATGAGTGGTCGCACGCAACAGTGTCTATGTTAGAGACCTAGACCCCCAAAGTCAGCACACTTCCAAATCCTGGAAGGAAAGACACACCAAGCCCTTTCCTCACAGACTATAACTCCAAGTAACCCTCCAGGTGGGAATGGGATGACGCTCCCTAGCACGTGCATAAGGAACAATCCAGAAGGAGCCTGTGGAGCTGGAGAACAGCTTCTCCTAAGACCCTTTGACCTTGGGCCACCAGAATAGAGGAGAAACGGAAAGATGATTCCGGACCCCGAAGCTCAGCTTTCCTGAAACCTGGCACTGGGATGCAGGGGAGGGTCCATCGGACAGCAGTGCCCCAGGCCAGAAGCCAGGAAGGCCCTGCCAGTCTCCTCCTGGGCTGGTTTGCCCCCAAGAAGGGGGCAGACTCCCACCCCTTCACTGGTCCTGGCAGAGGGAAAGCTGAGAAAGAGGAGCCACCTGCTCACCCCGAGGGGGGAGGGGAGGAGTGCAGGGGGCGAAGTGAAGCGGGCTTCAAAGCCCAAAGCGGGAGGGGTGGCCAGTGGGCTTGGGCGCTGATGCCTTCGGAAGACCACGAGATGGGGCTATTTCCCTAGAAAAAGAAAACAGAAAACAAACAAACAACTGGAAAGGCAGTCAGCAGTCCCACCACTCAGGCTGGATCAGGAGGTGGGGGGGGGGGGGGGGGGGGGGGGGGGGGGGGGGGGGGGGGGACTGGATGAAAGAAGGTGAAGGGAGGACACCCGGGACACTGCACCCGGTCTTCTTCCATCCTGGTGGGACTTCCTCTGGGGTCTAGTGATTCAAGACCCAACAGCCTTCCCTTGGCCCCAGCAGCCTTCCCTGAAGCGCACATCACCTGCCACCCACCTGGTGGAAAAGCTGGAAGACCCAGGGCCTGGGAAGGCCAGCCTCAGTCCAGAGCCCAGGTCTAGGCTGAAAGCTGCCATAGGTCAGCCCAGGGGCCTCCAGGCACCTGGCCCAGCAAAACCCTCTGAGGAACAACCGTGCAACTGGTGTCTCCAGGCCCTGGCCTCAGAGGTAGAGGCTGGGCTGGGCATAAAGAGAGCCACCTCCTAGTGAGGTTCTGCCCTTCCCTGCTTAGCACCCTCCCTGAAGTGCCTGTCTCACTCAGAGTAAACCCATGGCCCTTCCTGACCTCTCTCTCCCCTCCTCCCACATCCTTGCTTCCCCTGCTCCAGTCACACTGGCCCCTGAACTCTTCTTCCTACTCACCAGGCCACTCCTGCCTCAGGGCCTTTGCACTGGCTGTTCCCTCTGCCTGGTAGGCTCGCTCATTTCCTTTAAGTTTTTCAGAAATGTTGCCTTTTAACCACACTACTTAAACATGCAATCCCACACCTCCCCTCCCTTCCTCTGCTCTATTTTTTCCCTTGGCACTTCCCACCATTTAGCATACTTTATTATTCTTCATTTGAAACCATTACCTTTCATTGTCTGTGCCCTGCCACTAAAACTGGACCCACCGAGCAGGGAGGGAGTTAAAGCAAATTCGCTCCCAGATGTACCCCCAATGCCCGCAGCAACCTGGCCCACAATGGGAGCTCGGAGGGGATTTGTGAGAACTGGCCCTGCAGGGCAGCCCTGCACAATTCCCGCACAGTCCCCGCTGTTCAGTTCGGTCCCTCTCCTGCCCTTGAGGGCCTCTACCCTGCCCTGAGCTTCCTCTTCTTAAGCCTTGGGGGGGGGGGTGCGCTTCACCGCCATCCCCCCACACCACCAAAGGGCACAACCCCCAGCCCTGTGCCTGTGGACGCTTCGCCGGGTGCCCCAGGCAGGAGTGCTGCGACCAGGGTCGCTGTGCCAGCCTGCACGGTGCTCCCACATGAAGAGGCGAACAGTCCAAACTTACCAGGCGGCTGGGCGACGGGATGCGCTCTTGCCGGCCCCCGGATCGGTGGCGAAGCGCAGTCAGTGGACACACACTGGGCAGCCAGGCTGCCTTCCTGGGGCGCCCAGGAAGG